CTAAGATTCCGAGCCCTGCAGCCTCTAGGGCTCAAAATCGACAAGCCGTCAAAGTACCGAATTCTAGCCTGTGTCCTGAAAGGAGCCTCGTAGTTAACACAGAGTGGAGAGCTGGAACACCCTCCCCAGAGAGAGCAAAAATCACTTCAACAAACAGCGCGAGACAGATGAGACAGGTTTGAGACAGTGTTGGTCTATTTAGCCTCTTGTCTCATCTGTCTCGCCTGTCGCGCTGTCTCCCTCTAACGCTCCGTCCGTCCGTCCGAGGGGCACGCTGAGCCGGGGCCTTAGGGCCGATGAGCTACTGTTGTGGGGGGAGGCTCTAGGTAATGGCACGGTGGCGACAAATGAACTGAAAAAGAAGCCACCACCCCTGGCCTCGCCGGCTCCGTGGCGGCCTGAAGCAACGTGACCACATGCTGGGCTTGTTCCTGACCTGAGGGGAGGCAGGCACCCAGAATGTTCTGGTGGACGACACCTTCCACGTCTACGGCGCGGTGGAGACCAGCCTGCCATTTTTGTCCCTGTCCGAGGGTGCCAGCGGACGCCAACAATCAGGCAGGGCTCGCCGAGCTCAAGGTCCTCTCCATCGGCGGCTGCCAGCTGAACGCGCTGGACCAAACAATCTCTCTGAACACCAGCAGCGGGCCGGCAAGCTTGCTCATAGAATCTAATTTAGGAGGAGGTAGTGATGGAGAAGTGATTTGCTTCTACGGCTTCCAGAATCTCTCGGACGAGAGCCTCAAGACGAACTTGCGAGCCGTGCCGGGTTTTCGACGCAGCCCGGAACTTCACTGTGCGGGATCTCCGCAATCTTTCAGATAGCCGGCGCGAATTCCCGGAGCGGTGGGCGGCATTGCGCGGCGACGTGCGAGGCAGGTGCTTGCACCGAAGCCCCGGAGTTTGGGCAAGTCGGCGGCGGAGGGGCCGAACGATCGGCTGCAAGCCGACCTAGTTGATATGAGCCAGAACACGCGGGGGGCCAATAAGTTTGGCTTGGTGGTGACGGATGTGTTCACCCGGAGGTGGCGACGAAGGCATTGCCCGACAAGCGGGCCGAAACGGTTACCGGGCGGCGGCGGAGATCATCCCCGAGCTGGTGAAGGACGAATCATCGAAATATGCCATTGCCATCACCACGGATCTGGGGAACGATTTCCGGGGCCTCGAGGCGGCACTGCCGGGGGGCATGGTGCATCGGCATAAGGACCCCTCAGACCGCAACACGACGGCAGTGGTGGATAGAGCCATTCAAGCGCTGAAGAAGGATCTGGCAAGGTGGCCCGGGAGGGCGGCGGGTGGGGGGATCACTGCGGAAGCCTGCAGTGGCGCCGGAAGATGTGGAGACGACGATGCCGGCCGCGACCTTCCGGGTCTATCAAGACAACGCCCAAAATTCTGACGAGGAGCTGCCAGCGGCGGTTGGAGGAGGCGGGGGCTTTCCGGGCCCCCACCAATGCCCAGAGATCCTTCCAGCCCCAGCACGGAGCGGTGCGGGAAGTGGGGTCCTACGACTCGATGGCCGTGCGGGCCACCGACAGCTCGGAGACCCTGCTGAAGCATGCGCTTCCGGCGCCACCCGGCTGAGACAGCTGAGACAAGAGTCTAAATAGACTAAAGATGTCTCAGGGCTGTCTCAGCTGTCTCATCTCTTGTCTGGCAGCCTCACGGGGGTGAGGCAGGGGGTCCAGGGCAGCTGAGACAGCTGAGACAAGAGTCTAGCATGACTAAGCTGTCTCAGGGCTAAAACCAAGCCTGAGACATCTGAGACAGCCTTGAGACAGCTTTAGTCTATTCAGCCTCTTGTCTCATCTGTCTCAGGTGTCTCAGCCTGATGCGGCGAAACCTCCAGAGCATCGGCGAACCATCCGAGCATCCAGGTCGGCCGGGCCCTCCGAAACAGCTGAGACAGCTGAGACAGCTGAGACAGCTGAGACAAGAGTCTAAATAGACTAAGGCTGTCTCAAGCCTGTCTCATTTGTCTCAAGTTGTCGCGGGCAATTGTTTTCGTAAAAGAACGCCCAAAACGAGCCTGAGACACCTGAGACAGCCCTGAGACATTGTCTCAGCTGTCTCAGCTGTCTCACCCTAGTGCGGCGACGCCTCCAGAGCACCGGCATCGAGAGCATCGGCGAGCATCCAGAGCACCGGCATCGAGAGCATCAGCGAGCATCCAGAGCACCGGCATCGAGAGCATCGGCGAGCATCCAGAGCACCGGCATATGAGAGCATCGGCGAGCATCCAGAGCACCGGCATCGAGAGCATCGGCGACCGGCAGCGAGAGCATCGGCGAGCATCCAGAGCACCGGCATCGAGAGCATCGGCGAGCATCCAGAGCACCGGCATCGAGAGCATCGGCGAGCATCCAGAGCACCGGCATCGAGAGCATCGGCGAGCATCCAGTGCACCGGCATCGAGAGCATCGGCGAGCATCCGGAGCACCGGCATCGAGAGCATCGGCGAGCATCCAGAGCATCGCATCGAGAGCATCGCATGCAGAGCATCAAAACGAGGTTCAGGCGAGGGTGCGGGTAGGCAAACCAACAAAAAAACAGACCGGCCCTACCTAAACCGGGGACACCCCTAGCCGGCTAACCCTACACACTCTGTGCATGCAGGGAAGCGGGGGCTTGGGTTCTAGCTCGGGAGGCTAGGGGTGAAGGGGTTCGGGCGCTTAGGGGGACAACCGGGGCGAGTCGACGACGAGGCCTGGAAGAGCTCGAGAGACCTGCACAGGTTGGCTTCGAAAGAGTGCGAAAAACGAGGGCTGAAGAGTCCCGCCTCGTAGCTCGCGGAGCCGTCACCGCCCGAGACGGGCCGGCGCACCGACCCCAGAATACACAGAGCCGCTGTTTTTTCAGCGTGCACGCACACACACACTCAGACATCCATCGCGCAGCCACTAATCAATTTGGTTATCAAGCACAGCTTGATGTATCTCGAAAGCATGAAGCTTCCAGGGGGGTCCGGTACCAATCTGGCCTCAAGGCTCATCTTCGCTTGATCTCAGACTTATTCACTGTACAAGGCAAACTCCTCCAAACCTGCACATTCGATTTCCATTGGGGTTCTAGGCTTAGCCCCAAGCCATATCACTTGCAGAGACACTTGCAGACACACTTGCAGGTACACCAAGCTGATCAGGCTTGGCTTCCCTCTCTGATGCATAGCTTCGTTGGGTACGGTAGCATCAGAGAGCCGTACCCCCCTGCTATTTTCAGCAATTCAGCACTACTGTCCAACGTGTTTCAAAAACGGTTCCTCTTGGTAACAGAGGTCCACACACACAGTAAGCCACTAAGGCGAAGCAACCTAGGGTCTGGACTCCAAACGAGGACGGTTTTCGTCCGAATATGGCTCAGCCCAGTGAAAGGTCAATGGTACTGTATTGTTGACAGTACTGAGTTTGACAAAGTACGGTAAATGAGTCCCGCTTTGCGTAAGTTTAAACGTACGCTTGGGGATGCGATTCCACTCCAAACTGATCATCTCTTTAAGGTCGTCGATAATGCCTTCGGCCGGAATGTCGAAACATGCAACCGTGGCACCATCATGGCGGCCACCAGAAGGCAGATTTTCAATCCAGAATCCTCGGGTCATCCGCAGCGGAGGCAGATGTTTCGGTGTCCGAGGGAGAATAAGTGGATCATCATCTTTTTCGCCATCAGGTGGAAGCGACGCTTGTGCAGCATCTCGTTTCATGGCAGAAAAAGCTACACGTACACTGGGTCGCTGTTGCGTGGGAGCAGGAAAACTGTACAGGCGAGTGCTCTCACTGTATGCAGGACAGAAAAATGTGAGTCAGGTCACAAGGTCATGCCAAGAATCTCTGGTAGTTTTTCCAGCAAGTGACATGTAATCCTGTACACGTCCGGTGTCCAAATCAAAATAAGAATCAAACGTTTCGGTTGGGACACTGTGCAACATACCAAAAATGGCAAGCACAACGGAGGTTAGCTCTGACCAGCATTTTTGCACAGGCCTTTGACCGTGCTGCAGGATTTCGGTGAAACTGCATCGGATCCCCAAGCGTGATATCACTCGCTTCAGAGGGAACAGGTGAACGCTCACGTTTGTCCTTCTTAGACTTCATGGACTTCGGAGACTTATTTGGTGACCGGTCCTTTTTCAGCCTTTTGGACTTCTTGGACTTCTTGGTCTTCTTGCACTTGTTGGAGGACTTCTTAACCCAAGACGCCACCTCTGTGGGTGCCGAGTCTTTGGGAGGATCGAAAGCCGAAGACCAGGAGCTGGCATCATCAGGAAGGTCATCATATGGTACCCCGTTGTCTTGACGGGAAGCCATGCCGGTGTGTCGAGAAATCAAGACGGAAACGGCTGGCGGCACCACATGAGTAAAAAAGGAAAAACGCCTTCGGCTTCACGAGAGACAGAGAGAGAGAGGGGAGAGAGAAAGGGCGAAAGAGACATAAAACCGAGCGTAACGCTCCTACGCGCTGTTTTGCAGTGCGCAAAGACGGTTCCACTTCAGTGGTGCAGGCGCTCTAATCCAGTAATGATGAAAGTCCCAAAAATGTCAATTGGGAAAACGAATTAAGCAGACAAGTCGTCTGCTGTTCCAGCATGACAAAAGCTCTCACGGTGATGCATCTCGCTTGCGTTTTCGGGGTGACAAAGAATTAGCGCTCTCAGTAGGGAGGTTCAAGTCCACCGAAGAAGTGGTCTGAGAAGCTTGGTGCCACTGATTGTCAGCAGCCAAACGATCCGAAATCCAGCGAGAGGTGGCGGGAAACCAAGATTTCCACCACGTTTCATTGCCATTGGGTCCTTGATTTTTCACCCAATAAAATCGCCACGAAACAGTCGGAGAACGCGATCGGGATCGATCCGACATGGCGTGTACCGCTGAAAGCCGAACGCTGGAACTGAACAACGCAATTTAAAGATCCTAAGCGGACACATTGCATGCAAGACTCTTCTGCATATACATTCTGTATTGCAACAGTCTTTTTTCCATGCATGAAAGACTCCATGTATCTTAAGCCTCTCTCTGTACATCGGAGACCGGTAAAGCTTCGGTGCTTCGTACAGAGTACTCCAAGCCAGGCCAGCTGACTCCCCAATCCTGTCCTTCCCCCGTTTCAAAAGTAATCGGCCGGGGATTGTTGGGGGTGGACATCGGCAACGTAACGGAATGGGTGCTTGACAAAATCCAAATTTTGTCAATGCGTCCTGCGGCTTCACGCACCGCCCAGCGCTTATCTCCTGAAGGGGAGTGTACAAGCGGGTGGAACTTGCACAAATGTCCTTCATGTACAGTGCTGGAGGACTTGGATTTGTGATGCGCAGATCCAAGATATCCTCCCACGACCACTCCTGCGGAATTCTTCGTGGAGTGGTGCAGTTTTGACACGAAGTCTAACTTGCTCTCTTCATAGTGCACGTGTTGTGTGGCTTTGCCATAAAAGGAGCACACATGATCGTGCGGCGCCACATGTACAGCTTCGGCGCTAGAGCGAATGACTCTGCCCAACGTGAGGATGCCGACCAGGCCTTCGGCCGTGGTCCCGTGTCCCCAAAGATAATAGCAGTTGGTCTGCTCTTCAGGTCCTGGCATATGTGCCACTGGAAACTCCCAAACATGCAATGCTTCTTGGGGCATGGCATACGCCTTGGCATCATGCTGAAAAATTGTCTTATATGGTATCTTGCTGGCCAAAATGGACCGGGCAAGAGTGACAACCTCCCGTTGGCCAATAGGAATCACAGGCAGAAAAGGTCGGTCTGCCTGGCCAAATCGGGTCAACAAAAATTTCAGCACATCCTCAACATCCTCTTTGAGGATTTTTGAGACTGGCAATGAACGTTGCCGAGTAAAAGTGATGCGATCAGTGAATCGTCGCATATGAGAATGTGGGATAATAGGCCACGTATGCAAGCCTTCGGTTGTGAGAAAGTTCTCATGATAATGCAAAACAAAGAACATATACGCCAAGAGAGAACTCATTCCCTCCTCATAGAAATCGACAGCATTGCGGCCTTTGGCTCGAGCTGTGATTTGCTCTCGCAGTTGTTCATAGCTGCTGCGATGAGCAGCATGAAATAGCTGTTCCTCATCAACAGAAATCAAACCGGATTGAGCAGGAGGAACTGGGCTCTTTGGAGCCGAATTCTTGGGAGGTGTCTTGGGCGCCGTGTTCTTGTGAAACTCCGTTGAGGGAGCTGCCGCAACAGGCTCCTTGTTATTCAAAATCGGGCCTGTCTCCGGTTTGCTTTGTGCATTGCCGGGAGCTCCAAAAGCTTGAGCAGCCCGATGTAATGTATCAGTAGCTGCTTGAGAATGTGAAGCAGGAGCTCGAACTCTGGGTGTTACTGGCCTTTGGCTCAGAGTCCCAGCAGGAACAGTAGGTACCCATTGCCCCGGCGGTCGCTGTGGACTGTTGCTGGGCCCTTTGTTTTCATGAGGCCGGGAACGGACAGAATCCGGCTCAATAGATCTCGGTCTAGGCCGGGGTGGCATGTTTTCTAAGCTGGCAGAACGAAAAGGTGGGCGCATCGGAGGAACTGCACTGACCGACCTTGTTGGTGGTCGAGTGGGAGGCTGCGGGGGAGGCAGAACTGGTCGAACTGGGGCCGCGGGAGGTCCCTCAGGTTGACGTTCATGCCGATGGTGTCGACGCCGTCGTCGTCTCGAGCGACTGCGATCATGACGCTCACGGCTGGGGTGAGTAGACCTGGCCGGCTCACCCGGTGTGAGTTGAATTGGAAGCGGAGCTCGAGGTGGTGGGTGTACCGAAACCGACCGAGCTCTGCTAGCTTCCTGAGGAGTCGAAAGAATTGTAACCGGAGGTTGTGGTCCGCTTGAAGTCTGCACTCCAGGGGGTCCTCCGTAGAAGTGAAAATGGTATTGCTGGGCCATGGCTCGGGGTTGAAATATTCCTTCAACAGGCCGATACCCAGCTGAAAACCAATGTAGCTATGGTACTGAATCAGTGGTTCACGTGCACAATTAGGAACAACAACATTGCAAAGAGGCAGCGAAACTCTCAATCAAATGGCTTGTTTGTTGACTTCATTGCAACGCATTCACAGGAAAACCTGCCTGTACATACAGTTGCTTGAGTCTGCGAAGTTGTCCCGGTCTTGACTCGGGGGGCCAGGAATACTGGCGAATCAAAGATGCTCGAGAAAAGTATCCCGAGGCTGCCAGCTGCCACGATCCAGCGCTGTTGGGCGAGCGGATCTGCCACGGTTGCTCCGGGAGATTAAAAGTTGCTGAGCGAGTCTTGGCACAAATGGTAAAACCCAACCATTGATGGTCTGACACAGTTTCCAACTGAATCCCATCATAAAAGTTGGGATCGCAGAATCTCCGGAGTTGGGACGACAGTAGAATTTTCTGAGGTCCCAGAATCAGTCTGTTATCGACGTAACGGAGAAACAAGAAAGACGATTGGATGGCCGTCGGCAAAGATTGCAAAAACTGCCGTTCGGCCAGGAGTACAGGAAGTCCGGAGAGGATCGGCGATATTTGATTGCCTATACACGTCCCCTCCACTTGCTGCCTGCACTTTCCAGCAGCTGTAAAAACTCCCGTGGCGAAGGATAGATCCACAATCAGCGGAACATCAGAAACCCAACACCTCTTTAAGTTTGATTTCGTTCTCCCCCGAGGTTTGCCCGGGTGTCCCGTTTTTGACAACATATCGATCGAGAGGATCGAACAGCCAGAAGTTTGGCAGTATTCTTGGACAATCAAATGCACTGCGTGCATGATGTCTTTTCGGGGAACTGCATTGAAAAATCCCACGAGATCGTCGTTCCATTCGACGTCTTCCTCTTGGTTGGGCTTCGCCCAATAAGCATGAAGAGACCTCCAGAGCTGTGGCATGCTCTGCATGCCTGGGCTGTCAGCAAACAGCGTCTTGACCATTAAGGTTAACGCAATGGAGGTCAGCTCCAATAGCTTGCTGCACAACGAATTGGAATACGAAATGATGGTCCGTCCCTTGGCAAACTGTTTCTTCCGTTTCAGGAACACAGTGCCTTGAGGCAGCGGAGCTGCTTCTTTGAAGGCCCAGGCGTATCTTCTGGACAGATCTCGAGGAACGCGCTTCAAAATGCGCTGTCTCCATTCTTCAGGGGTACCATCAAGAGTACGAAACACAGAGGGATCGTTCCATGTGGTGCTAACTCCTCGAAGGAAGAAGCGAGGACAATAGCACACGACATGATTCGGATGATGATCTTCGTTGTACAGAACAAAATCCGAGCGCAAGGCAGACTTCACCTTCTGTACCAAAGCCCAGTTTAGTCTGTCTGATTGTTCCAGGGCTGCAACATGTTGCTGCCACTGGTGGTCACAAAAGGATTGAAAAATTGGATGCAACGTCGCTGGTAGCTTGTGTCTCTTGAGCCACTGATCAAACAGAGCTCTGGACTTGGCCATCCAGTGATTGCGGCCTGGGAAAAAGGTGCTCGCGGCACTGGCCGATAAGATGCTCGAACAGCCTGGTAGTAGCTTGGTCAGGTTCTCCAAACCTGTGGCTACGTGGCCAGACACGAAGCAATGAGCAGGAAGTTTTCCTGCAAACTGCTCACACGGACAGTGCACCGACTCCAAATCAAAGTCGTGCTCCCACATCGTTTCTTCCCAAGATCGGAAGTTGTGGAGAAATTTCTTGATACTCTGGTGCGGAACTTCACGTAGGCTGTTCTTTGGAACATGAAAAGATGGAAAAAGATACTTATACCGGAGGATGAGGTCTTTTAACCACTTCTCGCACTCCTTGGAAAACGAAGGAGACGCAGTTGGCAGGACTCCCAAAGGTCGGGAAGTCCGTGGCCAGTGCATCTTCTTGCGAAACTTGGCTACACCTTTGAGTATTCCTTGCACCCTGTTGCGATGAGGGTTTTCGATATTGCGACTGAGTTTGATGAGGGCATACACTTCCTCGTCAGCCGTCTTGTTGGATCGGAGCAGCTTCGCTGTTTCAAAGGATGCTCGGGTTCTCGATGCCAGCTTAAACAGAAGCCCCCAGGCTAATGCCCGAGAGTCATGAATGAAGAATTTCGGACTGCGACCAAACATGCGCTTTCGCAGTTTGCGCCAAAGTCGGAGGCCAAAGGTGCAATAAAATGACCCTCTGCGTTTGGACGAAATTCGGAAACCGAAAGCGGTCTTCTTAATGAGAGACATTGCTCTGGGATAATTCACAGGTGCCTGCCATTGAGCAATGAGTTCGTGCTCAACAGTCCAAGCTCGCTGGTAGCTGTCACAAAATTCCAGCGGAACAAGCACAAACTGGAAAAGGTTGTGTTGGGATGCCCAATATCTCAGGGACAATTCTGCATCCACAAATTCGGTTCTTTGAAGTCTTCTGTAGACTGCCATGCGGTTCAAATGCCGCTTGGCTGCACCGACAGCAGTGCTTCCCACATACAGAAGTGATGAGGGCTGACGGTAGCCCGAACGAAATCGACCCATGTCGAAATCAACTTGAAAAATGCAATATACAGTGTTCGGCTTCTCAAACAGAGAATAGTGCAGAGTATCTGGATCCACTCCGAACTGCTGCAATCTCCGAACAATCTTGAAGCTGTGCGAATCATTTTGGCTGGGTGCATTGAGGTAAAACAACAACACCAACGACATCAATGTGTGCACCCAAATCAGCGGAGCTCCAACATGAAAGCTGCTGCTGTACCAAGCGTGCACACTGCTGAAGCAAGCCTCTTACGGACCTGAATCGGCTGATGTTGCACCGTTTTTGCTTGGGTAGCTAGTCAAGCTGATTCAAACTGACATGCACCAATGAACGAAGACAGATTGGTGAATGACATCTTGCTGGCATGGCTTTTCTTCAAGCCGTACTTGATAGCAAGGTCTGCCAGGCTTTGTCGATCAGTGGCTGAATCTTTCAGCACAGAGCAGACATCAGCCACATGTTTCTTAAAAGCTGCAGCTTGACCACGAAACTGGCTCTGATGCTTTTTGAGCCATTTTTCAACAACATCAGGGGAGCTGGAACTCGGAACAGAGTTCGGCGGATTCGGGAGTTCCGCATTCAAAATCTGCTCAGCTGACGGTGAAGGTGAAGCGGTGGGCTTTGGGCCAGTTTTGGCCTGCTTCTTCTCTGGAGTAAGAGCAATCCCAGCTTCCTTCAACTTTCGCTTCGCACGAGCAAGCTGTTCACTCTCAGGCGATTGCTGGCTTGAATCCGCCGAAGGGGGCGAGTTGGCTTTGATTGTTGAAACAATCTCGCCGAGCGATGGTTGCATAAATCTCGCAGACTCCCTGTGCTTATCAGGCGGAGCTGGGCCGTGCATATTTGCAGCCACGGCATCAAGATCGATACGGTCTTGCCGGATGTGACGAAGCAGGTTAGTCACAAACACTGCTTCTGAAATCGACCTCACGAACACTAAGCTTTGAAATTCTCCATTGGACAAACAGCGGAGACTGAAGTCATCAAGACCTTTTCTCGTCAGGTCTGAAACGCGAAGATCGGCGACATCTTTTCCAGCCAGTCCAGCTTTCGTAGACCAGGGCGTGGATTGGATGTTACGAAAGAACTTCTTGCCAGAAATAGCATTCTTGTCGTAACACTCCCAGTCACTGGTAAAAGACGATGGGATAGCAACATTGGCGCTGGGAACAGACTGTTGAGGAGATTTTTGCCAGTCACGGTTGTTCCAACCCGACGATCCTTTCTTCTCCCAAGACGAACTAGCCCAGGACGACTTGGCCCAATCTTGTTCACGGGTCCACGACATGACCGCAAGAGATTGCTAAAGGCTTGTGTCTCGGAGCTGAAATCGTGGTCTGCGGATAGAAAAGCCGTTGGTTCCATCGGATCTGCAAAAATTCAGGACCTGCAATGAAACCTGGCATCAAACCTGACATTAAGTCAGGAGCGGAGAAAACATCACGACTGAGGTAATCAGATGTCTGCACCATCGGAGCAGCAAATTCAGTCGAATCTGTGAGGACCACGACGGGCCCAAAACAATGTATCCCTGCCTTTATCAGATCCACCCTGGCAGGTACTCGCACGGGCTAACCCCGCCGCAGGTAGCGCGGTAAACGAATACAAGACCAGCTTGTAACTACCTGGGACACACTTAGACATCCATCGCGCAGCCACTAATCAATTTGGTTATCAAGCACAGCTTGATGTATCTCGAAAGCATGAAGCTTCCAGGGGGGTCCGGTACCAATCTGGCCTCAAGGCTCATCTTCGCTTGATCTCAGACTTATTCACTGTACAAGGCAAACTCCTCCAAACCTGCACATTCGATTTCCATTGGGGTTCTAGGCTTAGCCCCAAGCCATATCACTTGCAGAGACACTTGCAGACACACTTGCAGGTACACCAAGCTGATCAGGCTTGGCTTCCCTCTCTGATGCATAGCTTCGTTGGGTACGGTAGCATCAGAGAGCCGTACCCCCCTGCTATTTTCAGCAATTCAGCACTACTGTCCAACGTGTTTCAAAAACGGTTCCTCTTGGTAACAGAGGTCCACACACACACACACACACTCACACTCATGCACTCACGGCACTCACTGCATCCACGGACCGACATGACACCTCAATGGCTTCGGCTGTTGGCTTTTTTCCACCCCTCTATGCTAAGCAACGTCGGCCGGTCGGCCCCGTCCCCGCGTCCCCTGTGCATCGGGATCTTTCGAGACTGGCCAGACCGGGCCCATGTCCCCCGGTCGCCCTCCTTGCCCCACTCACGCCCTTTTTCACGCATTTAGGGTTTCCAAACAGAGATTGTTTACAAATTTGACATATTGCTTGTAAGGCAGACTTAAACGGTTTTTTTTGCTACATGTATGTGTTGTCCCGGCCCTGACCCCAAGTCCCCTAGGCATCTAGATACGATGCTCTCTGACTCTAAGTAACTCAAACAATTGTGCAAGGAGGGTGGACCATCCGGGCTCATCCGCTGTTTAGGGCGGCGGTCGACTGTGCAGGGCAGCGTAGTAGGGTTCAGGGCTCTGGAGGATTCGGGCGCTGAGGGGCGGGACTTGGGGATAAGCGGGGACCTGCACGACACGAGAGTTGAACCTAACGTGGTGTGGCCAGGAATTATAGTGACATCTTTGCTGCAGACTACAGCAGTGACCTAGCTCGCTACTGCTGCCGATCTAAGCACACCGCTTGCAGCAAAAATTGACCACACCGAAGATTTGCATCATGCACATCGCAAACATTGACATGTGAAACTGAGAGAGACCGTGCAAAAGGATGCGCAGAGCTAGATGGTGCCTGCACAGCACTGATTCTCCGATTTCCTTCACGAATCACATCGCCCGGCCTTTCAAGTCGCCCGCCGCGGCAAAAAGCCGTAGCAATCTAGCCTAGCAGTGATGCCGTCATGTGGAAGTTGAATGGCCGATCACGGAGCCAAGGGTTGGGCCTGCTTGTGTTCTGACGCAGGACTTCCGATTCGTCTCTGACGAGTTGCCACGCTCCAGCCTGCCAGCATCGGAAGCTAGGGAAGGAGCCAACAAAACAGCAGTCTGGGGCTCCGCGCTTCTTGTGAGTACAGGTAGATGTAGATATGCCTTGCATCGATGTCCCTGAGACTGACGGGGTTCTTCTGCTTGATGGCCTCGTCAACTTGGGCAGTTGTCGGGACAGGCAGCAAAAGGAAACATGCCGAGGCCGGGTCTGTTTTCAAATCGTCGACATCATTGAGCTGCGCACCCTGTTTGAGCGCCAGCGGCCATCAACTCGACATGATATGGTGTGGATGGCCTCACGGGACTGCACCTTGAACGCCGGCTCGAGCTCATCCTCGCCCTCTTGACGAGACCTTGCGCTGCTCCAAAACGACCGGCAATCGGAATCCTCCTTGGGCCTCAGCTTGGCGGTGATCGTCCTGTCCTGCGCGGCGAGCGGTGCGGCAGACATGAACTGACAGCGAAGTTGCAGAAACACCCCCAGCAAGGAACAGCCCTGAAGCAGTTACTCCCAACAGCGAGCAGATTCCGTGCTCGACATTTGCTCTCACACGCAGCACCTTCCTTGCTGTCTAGCTCCCGCACCCAGACAGTGGATGGCGCCGAGGTAGCGCCTGCAGAGCCCCGCAGAATGCGTACAAATACACATTTAAAGGTGAATGATAACGAGCCGGGTGAGGCCCACCTCGCTCCAGAAAATCACGAAGTTCCTCAGCTCTTGTTGGTGTCAATGCTCGGCTCCATGCTCGCAGCACCGAACGCCGGATGTCGATGCTGCCGTCGGCCCATTGCATGATCACCTGCTGCAACTTCTCTGCGAGCGTGGCCAGTGCGTCTGATACGCCACGCACATGGACAATCCCTTGCAAGCTCCACTCCGACTTGATTTGGCCCAACTCTTCAATGAGGCCGACCGTGCCGCGGCGAGTGAGATGTTCAATCACAGTGTCGTAGCACATGTCGAAGTGCTCTCTAAAGCTTTCGAACTGTTCTGTCGTGGCGTTTTGGAAGTAGCTTCTAGCACCAAAGTCATGCCAGGCCATCCGGCTCTGAGTCTGACCCGTTCCGACCAGAAGAAGGTTCCCGAAATGGTTGTCGTGCAAAAACCCAAGGTAGGTCATCTTTTGCAGGTCCATGGTGTAGCCAGTCAGAAGAACCAGCAACTGCGAGATGGTCATTTGCGGGATCGACGGGCCTACGGGCCTTGCTCGAGTCATGACCTCCACTTCCAGCGCAAAGGGAAGCCGCGCTCCTTGGGCAGGGCGGCACCATCCTGCTGCATCGCCCGGTTGGCATTTGCATAAAGGAAGGTAACTTGCCACTGCCGTGTCGTTGAAGCAGTACATGCATGACGCTGCCGGTCCGACGATGTCAAACACCCATCCGACTGATCGCCTGAGATTTTCGCGCCACAAGAGTTCGCTGTGGACTTCCCGCTTGAGGTGGATTGGTCTGAGTGGCCGCGATCTCAATGCCGACCACAACCCTGCCAGGAATGCTGTTTCCACAAACCTTTCTTCAGCAGGCAAGTGATCGAGGTGATTCGGCAGATAGAAGGTACCGTCCTCCCCTAGGTGTGGCTCCAACACCTGCAAAGCGTTGACATAATAGTGCTCGAAGTGGCTGTCGCGCACAAATCCGACCCGCACGACAACGTCGCCAATGTCTGTGCAAACGGCGAATGCCATCGTGTTCCCCGCGCCGGCAGCCCCTTCGTCGAAGTTTACTGGACAATTGAAGTATGGTTGGAGGCTTTGGCAGGTGCCTTCGTCGCACTGGCCAGCGGCAAGCACGACGAGCAGCAGACTGACAAGCGCAATGCGGTTCCAAACCATGGCGCGAAAGTTGCTCTCAGCCAAAACTCTAAACGGTTTAGATGGTTTAGGGTATTGGGGTACCAAGGGTTTAGGGCATCCTGGGACAGAGTCGCAGACTCGGAAGGCCTTCCCGTTTAGTCCAGTCTAGCGACCTGTGGATATCTTGTGCTGAGCGGAATGAGTAGCCAAAATGGGCTAAGTGTGCCAAATGACCACGTACACTGCGAACCCCATGAAACAAAACGCCACGATTTGCGGAAACTGACAGCGCGCACATTTGAGCTTTGATTTCGAATGCATGGGAAACAACTGCCAGTAGTTAAAATGCTTTTCTTCAAGGGGAGGTTTAGAGGCAAGGTGCCAGGTCTGCCAAGCGGCAAAAACTCGAGCTTCAGAGCCCCCAAACCCCCAATCCCGACTGGCGTCTCCCACCCAGCAACCCCTGAAGCCCCGAACCCCTCAGCCGGTTTCGGCAGCCGCATGCTGCGTGCTCATGCCAAGTGCCCTGCGTGCGTCTTGTCAGCGCGAGCGACGGCTCGGACCGGCGGCACGCTCGGATCGACGATGCGGGGGGCTCGACAAGCGCTCAGCTCGGACGATGCGCTCGACGGACCAGGCTCGGCTCGGACGACGATGTGAGGCGGCGGTGACTGTAACTTTACATGCATGGCCGATCGGGAGAGAACTACGGGGTGACAAGGCACTCGCAAGGGCAGCCGTGGATCAAACCTACTGCGGGGACGAAGCGCGGTTAGGGTGCCGTGAACCAAAAACCACACCCAAAAACACAAACAGACGAAAGCACTCAAACAAAAATGGTACTGCGAAAGTCGGCGAGCCCAACGAGACTACTGCCATGAACATGCCGCCGCTCCAAAACCCCCTTTGACGCCTGCCACCCAAGAGGGGCGAGACAAGCGAGACAGTGAGACAAACTCCCTTCTACCAGCCCGGGCCCCCAAAGAGACGAGGGAGACAAGCGGGACGTTGAGACAAACTCCCTTCTGATTCTACCAGCCCGAACCCCCCAGACAGACGAGCGAGACAAGCAAGACAAAGTCTGTTTTACCAGCCCGGCCTCCCAGAAAGAGAGGGAGACAAGCGAGACATTGCGAGAACCGCTTTGTCTCGTTGTCTCGCTTGTCTCACCAGGCTCTGCCCCGCCCACAAGCCCACGGAAGCAATTTTCTGCTCATCAGATCCGGTCGACGATTTCGGCACCGAGTCGACAGGGAAGGTGCGATTCGGCCGGAATGGTGCCCAAAACCTAGGTGGGGGACACGCCGAAATCGCTGTTCGAAAAGAAAACTCGCGCGCTGGCTCTCGGCGAGTACACGGGAGGGCGGGTGTGGATCGAAGACAATGAGGGAGACTCCGCGGCCCTGCTGGCCGGCAAGGAGAAGGGCGACCGGGAACTGCGGGGACGACGGCTGGACATACACGACAAGCCCGTCAGCTTCGATGCTCGCCGCTATCACATGGTGGAGCCACACCAGGGCAGCATGTGGGCGCTCGCATCTTATGTTCCGCCAGCCTACGCTCGCTCGACCGAGCAGCACCGAGAAGCACTGAGAGAGGCGGGCTTTCCGCTGCCTGTCTGACACCGAAGGCGCTGGAGCTGGAGGGCCGGGAGACAGGCGAGACAGCTGAGACAAGAGTCTAAACAGACTAAACCTGTCTCAAGCCTGTCTCATCTGTCTCGCGCGGGGTTTGGTCGATTTTCTCTCTCTGGGGAGGGTGTTCCAGCGCTCCTCTCTATGTTAGCTACAGGCCTAGGTTCGAGACATGGGTCAGAATTCGGTACTTCGGAGCACTGTCGATTCACGGGCCTACGGCCCGCAGCTCGAGCGATGTTAGGGGCTCTAAAGTGCTTGCAAAACGGGATTTAACCGCGCTTTTCGCGCTGGAACACCCTCCCCAGAGAGAGGCTTAAGGGGGTTAAAAACGTAAAAGAGAAGCAGAAACATGAAAAATCACACAAAGACCGCATAAAATCGTTCAGCGGACCCGCTCTTAAAAGCTCAATGGGGGGGGCTGCGCCCCCAACCCCCCCGCTTTTTGTATTGCAAACTCCCGCCTTTGGAGCCACCTAAACCGTAAAACTGAACGACGAAAAGCAGAGGCCACACGAAATCGGTTAAGGGGTTTAAAAATAAAGAAAATAGACGCAGCAGAAACATAAAAATTCAGACACACAAAGACTGCATAAAATCGTTCGGGGCTGGCTTTTAAAAGCTCAATGGAGGCTGAGGACTTCCACACGAAAATTGCTTGAGAGGCTCAAAAGCGAAAAAATACATGTTCACGAAATCGCTTTGGTATTTTTTTTTTTTTGGCTTGGGCGGGCCTCGTCGACTACGGCTGTAGCACTCGGTCCCTACAAACAAAACAAACCAACAAACAAACAAGGCGGCTCGTTAAAGAGAGGCAAAAGGCTAGCTGCGGCGCACAGGCTTTGCCGGTGTTGGCCGTTCAGCACGAGCTACGGGGCCTCAGCGACCGATCCACAACAGCAAAAGGCCGTCGCCTAGAGCTGTCCAGGACCGCCGGTGGAGCCCAAAGTCGAAGCTCCGGCCGCCGTTCTAGTTCCGTCTGTGGGCCTCTCAGCCAATAAACTACCACTGCGCTAAGATCCCAACCAGAGGTGGTAGCAGCCGCCCGAAGGCGCCACAGGGCAGCGTGCAGAAGGCCAGCGGACTGGATGGGAAGCGCGGGCGGCGCTTGCAGACCCAAGGGGACATCGTCCAGCGGGAGCAGGAGTCTGAAAGTGCCCTTGCACACGCCCGGGTATGAGAACATTTGAGGGTCGAAGTCACCACGTCTAGCGGGGAGAAGCCCACGATGGAAGCCTTCCATCAGCCGCGCGGCAATAGCAATTTAGGGCCGCCCCACCAGGGAGGCAGGCACTTCCGCCTTAACCCGTACCTCAAGGAAATGCAAGTCATTCTGCCAGACAGGAGAAATTCGCACGAGTTGTAGCAGAGGGGCGGCGTCAGGTTCATCTACCAAAGCCCGTGCAAGGTAGAACAGCAACTGCACCGGCAACAGCACACCACAATGAAGCAAGGGGGTGCCCTGATTCGGATCCATGCTCGAGCCTCCCTCCCCCGTTGCTCGCCGGACGCCTGATCCGGTGCCGCGGCGCTTGCCCGTGGGTAAGGGGGGTCTCTTGGGTGCCAGAGACATTTGGATAAGACTACCATCTCGGACTGGTGACTTATGACCTGCCTTGGCACTGGGGAGCGAGAACTTAAGACCATCGAGCTCGTCCAAGAAAAACCACACCCAGATCTCCGGGCGAGCCAACTCGTACCACGAAAGGTCGAAAACACGCCCTTCAGGTAACCGCAACACAGGGTCGCAAAACTGCGCCAGCGCAATGGAAACTGCCAGCAGGGGAGTGAGGCACACGCGGAAAGCCTCACTTTCCGTACAGTGACGGAGCATCAGCGCACGATCTGCAAAATCAACAACCCTGGCTCCGAAATTCTGAGGGCTGACCTTAACTTCGCACGCCGGCAAGGAGAGAGGCAGCGAAAGAAGGGAAAGGCAGTCCGTCCGGTTGGGGAGCAGTTGGTGCAGCGCAACCGCGCTTGCAGGGCCGTCAATTGGCGACTGCTGCCTGCCCTTGGCCTGGTAGCAGCGGAGGATGTCGTGCTGCTCCGCGAAGTCATCCTAGCCGGAACGCCATCCTCCGGGTCGGGCTTAGCAAATCCGGCGGTATCGTAGAGGGCACGCGGTAGGCCCGTTGTAGCAACCGGCGGGAGAAGGGCCTCAGGCTGGTTCGAGTTGCGCAGCAGCGTAGAAACAAATTGCTGGAGCCGCCCCAGCAGCGTCCGGTTGACGGTGTTCGAGGCAATAGCAGAAAGATAGAATGCGCCTGGCGCAGCCGCCACCAGCATGTCGGCGGCTGCCGCCTGGCCTCGGCACACAGTCGCATGCGCATCGAGCGGCATGTGCTCCGCAATCAGGGACCGGTGGTGCTGGGAGAGGACCGCTTGGGCGGCTGCAAGCCACCCCCCTTGTGAGCACGGAGGCGGTGGAGACCGATGCGAGGCGGACTGGTAAACTCCAGCAACCCAATAATGGGATGCTTGGTGTCGAGAACAGGGTAGAATCGGGTAGAAGGGGCGCACTGTAATTGGTTGCCCGGTGGGACCACTGTTCACGAAATCCATGCCGCGCAGGAGCAGCTGCACAGGGTGGTCGGGCACTCCGACCAAAGCACAGGAATCGCAGAGCGGCGGTATGCAATTAACAGACCACCTCTCGTAGAACTCCGAAGCCGTGTCACAGTCATCACGCGGCTGGCACTGTAGTCCAAGCTGCGCAAGCCCGTAGGACTGATAGAGAGCCTCCCAACTGATGATGGTCTTGTGGAGTGTGGCGTGGAGTTCCAGAGCGGCGATGATCCCCCACCAATGAGAGGGAGACGCAATGATCAGCGGGCCTGTGGGCCTCGTGCTGCCGGCTGTTAGTCTCTGGTGTGCGTCCTCCCCGGTCATGGTGAAGCGACCTGCCTTGTCCACCAAACAGATGTCCACAGTGCCCGTGGTGCCGGCGCACACTGTGGTGGTAAAGAGGTCAATGAACACGCCGAGCTCATTGTGGTGGTCGTAGAAAAAATTGAACAGGGTCTCGGCCTGCTCTTTGGTAGTCCTCCCCGGCGGAGGGAAGCCTGGCAGCCGTCCCGAAATGTAATCGGAAAACGAAGTGCCCTCGGTGACCACTCGGTGCGCGGCGTCGGTCTCGGCGTTGCCGGCCGCGGGAAACTCAATCCTCGCCCGTGCTTCAAGGTATCAAACACCCCCGCCTGCACAGCAAATCGGTAGCCGCACACATTGTAAGCCAAGACAAGGAAAACGCAAAACCATTCAACCACAAGGCCCTTATGGACAATGGTGGAGGCTTGTTTGGGCAGTCGTATAAAGTAAACTCCAGGTTGATGTGTGCCATCAGCTGCAATCCGGTGTGCCCGCCTTGCGGGCGTGTCCACTGCCAACTCCCCAATGGTGACC